TATTGATATTAAGAAACATGTAATTTCGGATGCTTATTAAATAAATTTACATTTAATCAGACGGTTGTTTTTTGTTTCCATGGTAACATGTACCCTTTTAACTTGATCTAAACAAAAATAAATTAATTTTCTCCCTTTTTGCAAATAGCTTAAAAAACCAGAGTTGGTAACTACCACACGTTTATGATGCACCCTGTATATTGGAAAGTAATTTTAGAATGTGGACCTTTTAAACGTGAAAAACTTCCGTAGGACGAATTTTCTTGTAAACTTCATATTTACTGAGATATCGCACTTTGACGCACTAATGAGCAACCCTGTATATACCTCCTTCGTATACGTAGCAAAGTTCAAATAAACACATTTCATATACTTATGTCTGCAAACATGTTTATTGACGTAGACCTCAGAACGTAATCTGCTTTCCGAATTTGAGCTAAATATCTCAACAACAGCAACAATTGCAACAGAGAAACAAAGAAAAAGTTCGAATGTCATCATCCGGGAAACACAAGAAACAAAGTGTTCAGAGATATAATTTTAAATCAATTTTTCAAGTTGAGGATTTCAGTTGCATGTTCCATGTCAAGCTTGTTTATGCATCCACCCATGTGTAATATTAACAAATTATGGTTCGCATAATGCATATTTTAATATTTAATTCATTCTCATTAATATAAAGTATAATAATTAACCTCGACATTAATCGGTTAATCTCGAGTTTAACACAAATGATATTAAAGTCATACGGATACAGATATATGAACATACCTGGTTAATGTCGAGTTCCCCTTTTCACGTTGAATAGATTATTGGATACTTTAGTACTACTAGACTATTGGAATTGGAATAATCTATCATTTTCTATCAGCAATATTTCTTACGTGAGCATCAGTTGACTAAGGCACAAAAACTGTGTGACAGTTAATAACGGGAATGTAACTTGCCATTAAAAACTTTTTTAAATTAATTTCCTGTGCGTAGTTTGTTTAGATATTTTTTATACTACTTATACTATTTCCTTAATAATTTATTGGAATGAACAACGAAAATATTGAATATGTAGACAACATGAAATAGCTCTGTTTTATCTTAAACGGCCAGTTAAATCTTAATGATTATTTTGAATAGATAATTGGTAAAATAGGTCCAAAACTTGTTTCTTTTTTGTTTTATCTCTGTTTTATTTGCTAATACTATTTGTTGGCATGTATTTCTTCAAATACATTAGAACAATGATTATCATGAAGGAATAAATGTTTCTGGGTATTTTTTTTTTCATACTGGAATCTCGCTGGATGTTCCTTACTAAAGTTTAAATATGTTGCAACTTCTTTCAAGAGCAGTTAGACATATGTATAGGCTTAAGTATTTTGG